ACACACACACACACACACACACACACACACACAAAACACACGCACGCACGCACACACAACACACGTGCGCGCGCGCGCGCGCATATTTATTTATTTAACTGAATAAAATATTGCATATTAAAATATTAATAAATTTAAAAAAAATTAAATCAATTTTTTAAATTACAGTTTATCAGAAAAGAAATCACAGCAAATAAAAAAGAAGTACGATGTTAATGTATGTAAAACCAGATTAGAAGTACCTATGTTGAAGAAATATCTACCCGCGTATCAAGCGCCAGGTTTAATAGAAGAGCTGAAAGAACACGATAGAATGAGATTAATTCAAGAACGAGAAGCTAGAAGATGGACGGCTTTGAGCGCTCTTCGAAGTACAAGGGATTCTCTCTCGAGTACAAAATCGAAGGAATGGATATATGGTACTTCTGTAATGTGCGATGCTCATGAAAGCGTTAGCAGATTAACTTCGGTAATAAAATTTAATTTAGCTCTTATTATCTATTATCTAAAAATTATTTAAGAATTCTCTTGAACTCTGTTGTATCTAGTAATATAGTATACTAATCCATGCTTGATTAATTTTTCTTCTAATTGAATCTTAATATATTTTGTTGCTATGTGATTGTTGGAAATGGAAAGTATTCTCAATGTGATTACGTAGTAACAACGTGATCGCTTAAGAATGAAAGGTTAAAGATATAGAATATCTCTCAGTTTCGATATGAATACATTCCAAGGTCTCCACAAGACTGACCGAGGGGAATACCCTTCCATATCAAGAAACGCAAACTTTCAAAGATGTGGTGCGAGAGTTTCGGAAGAAAGTGATGAAAGCCGACAAGCCTCCAATATCTTTATCTCAGCGCGCAGACAAATGTAAAGATCTGAAACAATTATTTCCTCCCAAAAATGACCATGTAGGAATTACGACGTCGAAGTTTGAGAAAGTAAAGTTTAAGGTAAATGAAACTTTATTCGCGAGAAATTTAACCGGGATTAGGATGGTAAAAGTGAATTTATGCGTAAATTGCAGTTAACCACGGAAAATTCAGTTGCATGTTGGCTTTCAGTATGGAAGCTAAAACAATTTAAAATTAATTTATGCTCTTCCGGAATTTAATGCATATAAATGCTTTATGTTTCAATAAAATACAATTAGTGTTATAATTAATGTTCGTATGCAGCCAAAGTGTGATAAATGCGAAAGAGAAGAAGAGTGTACTACAATATATGACGCAACTCAAAAATTTCAAAGTGAATCGTTTAGCGAGATGTCATCGATTTGCAGTTACTGCGAACATCGTCGATTTGATGTTTCGACTTCAGCTGATGAAATCACAGATAATAATGATATCTCATAAACGTGTTTTAGCATATAATAAAGAAGCTTTATAATTAGTGTGTTAGTGGTAGATATTATTTAAATGTTAAAGTAGCTTTGCCTGTGAAATTTTCTAAAATATGTAAATAATTGAAAGTCTAATTTCAAATTTTAGATATTGATAAGTTTAGCAAAATTCATAAGCTTAATTTATTTTAGAATAATATTAAATTGAAAAAATAATAATTACTTCTCTAATATCAAGTGTTTATGAAGTAGCGTTATGGAGTAACATATCAAATATTTAATAAGTTGATAATAATATTAAAAAATCGCGTTATTCGCATTTACGTATTGTATACAAGTGCAATTCATTTTATGTGAATGCATAACATGCTGTGCTGAAGTTTGAAAACAAGTACAATGACTACCAGAATCAAAAGCAAACAACAGATTTCTTATCGTTAGTGCTAAATGCTGTTACGACTAAACGATTAATTAATAAGCTCAATAAGTACGAATCAAAGTTGTACTGTTTGAAAATCCATTTACTATCGCGGAACCTTTGAAGATCGTATATTTTTCACAGGCAAATTGAGAACGCTCGTAAATCACGAGGATTCCGAAACTCGTGACCATCGGAAATGCGATCAACAAGCTACGTGAATAATGTATTGGTCGATTTCATGTGTGTACATACCATCGAAACAAAAAAGAAAGATAAAATGGAAATTGAAGTCCTTAGAAATGAATCGCTTCCTTTTTCCGTATTTTTGAATTGTATGTCTGATTATTGTCAGATTTATAAATGATTTTAACACTTAAAAATTTTGTTTTGAGAGATAACAATAGATGTGCTCTTTAAATTTATGTTAATTTTTTAACTATGTATACATATTATTAAGAATAATATTTTTATAGAATAATCAATTATGAGATTTCGAAACATAGTAAAAAATTCATATTAATAATTCCATAATAACAACATATCAATAATTTATCATTAAATAATCAAAATTAAAAGTTATTCAATACGTAGAAGTGCATTTCACTTGACGCTCGAAATTATTTTATCCTTGTTATATATCAAATGTTAAACAAGGATAAAAAATGTTCGTAATTGTCGTAAGAAAAGAAAAATAAAAGACGTACGAAAGTAACTTTCAACACTTTCTTTCATTACTGTGTCAATATGACGTGATACTTAACCAAGTAACTCAAATTTTCAAGTATGATTGTAGTTTTACGACAAAGAATGTAAGACATTTCTAAGAATTTTAAAAAAATAAAAAGAACAGTGAGTTATATATTTGTGTAACAAAGCTGAAGGAAACATGCGTCACGAGAAACGATAATGGGGGGTAAGAAGCTTACACGGGCAGAAACGATTAGGGTTAAAAATCGAAGCGAGAGGAAAAGCAGTAGATTCTCGACCGACAGAGGATTTAAAGACTCAAGAGATAGAGCACGGTATTTTCCGCACAAAAGATACTTTTGCACAGTGCAAATGTAGCTTACCTCTTTCGCGACGTAAAGACCATCGGTTTTCCCCGTTGAGGATCAATACGTCGGTCTTCGCCGATCAGCCGAAAGTAGGAAGGAGAGAAATTCTAGAAACTTTAACGTGGACAAAGAGAAGGGAGAGAATATCATGAAAGAACAAGAGCCGGAAAATAAGGCAGAAAATGATAACAGAATGCCGGAGGCGAATTGCGCGTGCACTTTGGAAACGTGCGGAGAGAAAAGGATCCAGCAAGAGATTTGCATGGATATATTGGCGAAAAAGAAGCTACTCGCGCGCGATGAAGGTATCAGTCCAACAAGGCTCAGTGAGATGATTAACAAAGAAATAAACGATTCCCTTAAACGGATCAATAATTCTATTAAAGATGCTATGAAAACTCTCGTGAAAAGTTCAATGGTACCTATAAGATGCAAGTATCCACAATATATCTTTAGAATTTTTCTCTAGATATTTCATATTTTTCGTAAAAATATAAAACTAAACAACATGAGATTAAACAGTGATATCAAACATATTTTTAGCTTTTTGTAATTTATTGCTCCTTGTAGAAAATAGTTTAATAACGAGATAAAATTTTGGAAAATAAACTTCTTCGAAACAGGAAGAGAAACAGTTGATTTTGCCCTGTTCAAAGGAACCTAAAGGAATATCCAATACAAGTCGATCCCACGCACTAGAAGAACGTTGCAAGGAATCACTCAACGTTTGCACCAATCGACAAACTACATGCCATGTTTCACGGCAGCGTGATAAATTATCCACACATGACAGTTCGTATCTGTGCAAAAAAATGCACGAGAACGCAATACCATTACCAGTACAAAATAAAGTTAACGGTGAAAGAAAGGGCAAAAAGCATTCGAAATCAGCGAATAATGTGAACACCGATAATCGCAGAATGACCGGGAATGTCAATATCTATATTTGCTCGGAGACTAATGACAGTAACCAGGTAAGTTTATCAAATAATACTTTTCACTCAATATAAAACGTAAAATTCAGATTTCAAAATACATTACATTATAACGGATTAATATTTTGTCTAAAAACACATTTAGGTATATTATGTTTACCATTATGAATACGTTATGTATAATTATAAATAATTTAAATGTTTATATTAATAAACCAATACAAATGATGATATTACCATGAAAAAAGTGAAAGCTAATAAATATTAATGCTGGAATTAATTATTTTGTCATTATGCTCATATAATTATCGTACTATGATTATTTCACTGATATATTATATAAACTAGAAATAATTATTAATTTATCTAATTATTAATATATAATATCTAATTATAACTGGTTGTGTTCGAAAAGGGAAGAAAAAAATCAAGATCTCCTTACGTGGATACAAGCTCTAATACAATTACCGAATTTAATTCGGGAAGCGCTAGCGCTAGCAGTGCGTCATCATGTAAGCTCATAAATAGCATAAAAGAGAAACAGAAGAAATTGCTAGTGCAGCAGTTGCCTAATTTTAGTCATGAGAAAAGTGACGATAACGTCGTTTGCGATAACGGAACATTACAACACAGGATCAGCAGGAAGGAATTGAGCGAATCTAACAGCAAGGAAGAAGCAGTCAAAGTCAATGACGAGAACATCCGATGCAAGGACGCTATCTCATCGACCAAAGATTACTACTGCAAAGATACGAATAACATAGATCTTGAACAGGACTCGTCGTACTTAACGGTTCCGTGTTCGAGTTTCAGCGCGTGTAACAATACTAAACATCCAGAGTCTTGGATGACCACGTATCCTTCAGAATCAAAAGCCAGGCTAGACGATAATAATGTCTTCCTGTCAAGAGCGATTTGTACCGATATGGAACAAAAGAATTATCGAAAAAATAACGATTGCAATAATAATGTTCACGGAAACGATAGCGAATGCACCATGTGTCATGCGGTCGATAGTAGCAGGTGGTTACCGAAATCGATCTACACGGAATGTGTGTTCGGCGAGGAACCTAGAGAGTATTTCGCAGACGGTTGTAAATATCGAAATAAAATATTCCAGGATTCATCAATAAATCGCAATGATATACGGAAGAAGCAAACAGGATGTAAACGCTTGCAACAATCTTTCGAAAGTTGCCAAAGGGAGATAATGGCTCGACGATGGTCCACGTGTAGTTGTATTGCGGAGGAGGATGAAGATTATTGCAAGAACGTTGACAAGAAAGAGCTTCCTCAAAACGTGTGCAATGCCGCAGAGAGTCTAGAAAAAATATCCATTTGTCAAACACCTAGAAAATTAGTCAAAAGTGTAACTGTATGCGAGACGTCATCTGGCGATGGGAAACGTTTTGAAAAATCACGAACGTGTAAAAAGAAAGAGCAATATTTGAAGGACACTAGCGTGTGTGAAACAAGATTTGGAAATTCAGTCGAACCTCCGAAAGTAACAAGAGTCTGCCAGGAATTCGTTACTGAAGAGCATCCGGAAGATATCACAGTTTGCAAGACAGCGTTTGGAGAACCGAATAGACTCCCGGAAGAAGCAATAGTTTATACGACGGAGCATTCTGACTCCAAAGATACTCCAAAGGAAACAATTTGTAAGGAGATTCTCGATTCAAACTTTGCCAACCAAGACGACGTTAACAGAGTATTCCTAAACGATGTAAAGGATAAACTTGTGGAAGAAAGTACAACTAGCTCGAACTTAAATAGTCCGGAAGAGAATGCTGGCAATAAAAGGATGGTAAAACCAAATAATAAGCATAATGTTGCCCTCAATAGTTTTACGGGACAACAATCTACTAATGTAGAGCAAGATAAACGAATAAACAAAATGATGAATGATGGATCGAAATATGTACCTCGTACTCCCATTGAATCAATTAAAGACTCTAAACCATTGTCAAAAAATGTTTATTCTACATTACCACGCGCGCAGTTTTATAATCGCTCGAATCTTGTATCTAATTCCAGTGTAAAGAAAACATCGAAATCTCATATTAATCAGCGAAGAATGCAATCGCTTAATCGATCAATGAGGAATCACTTTCAACAATCGAATAATCCTACGCAAAATTTGATATCAAATAAAAATAATCAACAGAAAGAAAAAACATTAGAAAACTCGCAAGAAAAAGAAGAGAGGCAAGATATTTCAAAAGAAATGAAAACGGTTGAGGACAAACAGAGAGAGTCACGTTTACGTTTATTAAAAAAATTGATCGATGTAATTAAACGTGGTAAGACATTTATTACAGACAGAATAGAAACAGGAAAAATTGAAGCAAAGGAAACAATTGCTAATGGTGAAAGAGATGTTGAACAATCAGAAATTGCTTCAGAAATTGAGAATAAACTCAATGGTATAAAAAACCAGCAAAAGATTATTAAAAAAGTGACTATATCAATGAAACCACTACAAACAGAGATTACAGATAAAGGTATATTATAAATTAATTCATCTTATTAATTACCTTAATCTTTAAATAGGAGGGTTTATTTTTTAAACCTTACAACTTTTCTTGAGATAAGATTTGTTATAATTTATTTTTTTTTTCATTGTACATCTTGCTTTAAAATATGACACTATTTTAGTGTCATTATAATAGTTTTCTTGTAAAGATTAATTATATAAGCTTTCAGAATTATTTCCATAAATTTTCTGCAATATTTATTTAAATTGAAATATAAGTGTTACATAATAATATAATATAGCATTTGTTTAATAAATGGATAAAAATTATTGTTAACCAATTTGATGCGGTATTACGTTAATTGTATATATATTCGTAGAAATTATTAGAAAAAATTTTGTGAGACCAAAACCGATCACGCTAGTAATTAATTTTATAATTTTTGAAAAAGAAAAGAAGATGGATATTGAAAGGACAGACCAGACAATGCCTAAATTATTACGTGTCATCGCGGCGAAGAGATCACGTGTTCTGCCAATTGTAGTGACAACTGATTCTAAACCCCAACAGTTTGAAGTATTATCTGTTCCTGCTAAAAAAATTACAACTCATATCGACCAAAAGAAACTCTCAGAAAAAAAAGTAACTTTGCAGGAACATAGTCCTGTGGAAGTTACGAAAGAAATAAAAGCAGATATTGTAATTACGCCTGAAATGAATGTTGCCGCAGTCGAAGATGCTCTAAAAGATGTTGCTGATGAAAATAGAGTTTCCCAAGATATTCTGAATGATACAACAAGAACTTATGTCGCTTGCCCGCAGAAAAAACCAGAAGGAAAATTACAAAAACTTATTCTTTGTAAATGCGGTCTACCTTCTGATTCGAATGGTTGTTTGTGCTCGATTGCCAAGTATATGAAAGACCGTGTGCCTTGTCCGCAGAAGAAGTTGGAAGAGGAACCGCAAAAATCTGCCCTTTGTACGCGCGAATTACTTTCTAATTCGAATAATTATTTATATTCCATTGTCAAATGCACAAAGTGCAATAATATTATTGATAATTGTCCTTGCAAAGACAATAGATTTGAACAAAACAAAATTTACTGTCCATATTGTCGTTTATCAACTATGCAATGTATCTGTATATTAAATCTAAAGAATTGCTTGAAGACTGATAAACCAAAATTTCATGATACATCACCTTCAAAGATCAGCTCTCAAATCTGCACAAATTATTGTATAAAAAAGCGGAAAGAACGCAAGTGCAGAAAGACAACGACTTGTTGTCATTCTTGCGAAGAATGTAAATGTAGATGGTGTGCAACGCGCGGCGATTTTTCAAGAATTATTGATAAATGCAAGTAAGAGATGTAATAAAATGATATGTATGATTTTAGATAAATACGTTCATTAAATATAAATTAGTGAATATTTATTAATTAGATATTTCGATATACTTTTTAATTATAATTTCGAGACAAAAAAATAATACTCAGATATATATATATTTTTATAAATCTTTCGGTCATGATTTCTCGAAATATTTGACAGGTGTGCGTCACAAGAAAGGTGCAGTAACTGTGATCAATTAAGAAATCAATGTCACTGTGCTACATTGACTTTAGTAAAGTGCCATAAGAACAAAAAAACCGGTAATCGCAAGAGGACAATGATTTGTCTATACTGTGATAACCCTCGAGACAAATGCACATGCAGAGCACCAATCGGAAAGTGCTTGTATTGCGGATTGCCATCAGATGTTTGCAACTGTCAAGGTGACAAGGGTCACGTTTGGATTGCTAAAAGACCGAATGAGAATCGAACGATTTGCGTCACCAGTTGGAAACCGAAGAGGGAAATCAGACAATATTTCGAAAGAAACTATGAAGATTTCGAGCCGTATTTCACTGAGGAACATCAGTGCTGCAAAAAGCCAAAGCGACAACTTCCTGAGGAACTACCTTATCAACGGCTAAATGTTTTCTCGGAAGTAATAAATGAACTGCAACAGAAAATGTGCGAGTCCGTATGCTGCGCACGATGCTGGAGAAATCCTTGTTGTTGTGGATTGCCGGTCGATCAAGATAAGAGAAAGGAAGAAAGGAAAGCCGAAAATCGTCTCAAGTATATAAAAGAATCTTTTGTCTGACAAGACTTTTTTTTCATTTATTTACATAAAAACGTGCCAGAGAAGTATTAAAAATAAAATTTTGTATTGAATCTCTTATGTAAATTTTATGCTACATGAATACCCAGACGGTATCCACTATAATTCATGCTATTAGATTTAAATGGTTCTTTATTATTTCTTATCTTTCAAGACTGTCTTCAAGCTATTATTCTAATAATTAGACTTATTCTAGTAGTAATTTGATTAACGGTCTTAACGTTCTAAATAATTCCCCTATATTCTCTTTCTTCTATTGAGTGAGTCAAAAGTATCAAATTGATAAAATATTTAAAAATAGGTTAATGCTTACAAACTTAAACTTTTTAAACAAATATTTAAAAGTAAATTAATGATTTTTTTACGTAAAATTTTCCAAATAATACATATTCAGAGCTGTTTGGTGATGTTTAAATGAAAACCAAATTAAAATTTTGAGTAGCACATTTAAATATATACTTGCATTGATATAAAAGTGATAGATCTCGACATAAGCAAGTTATTCTAGTATAAACATCCTAACAAGTACTAAATAATTGTTTAAAACTTTTCTGCAGTTAACTTATTTATTATATTAAACTTTTCCGTTGAAATTATTCTTGTATCTACCGTTGTTTAGTTATGCCAAAATAGAAAGGTCATCTGACAGCAAGTCATCAAATAATTATCAGTATAATCGGAATTCTAGAAACGAACGTAAAAGCACTGAAAAATTGATACCGATTCGACATATTGGTTGCGTTTGTAAATTAACACCGTGCAGATACAAGAAAGACAGATCCAATTGTAAGAGACCGCTGGCAAAATGTTATTACTGCAAGAGTTTGCCTTGCACGTAAGTAAAACAAATTACATTTAGGATTTTAATTGCAAACTTTTTTTTACATGACATTGTCAGTATCTAATTTATATCGATATCGTTTGATAGAGATTTTGTAAATAAGCGAATGGTACTATTAGCGGTACGCTTTGTAGCTTTGTTTCATCAGGGCCTCTATTCTTGAAAAGAAATTTAGGAAAATAGGGAAACGGTACGCTTATTGCCATAGTATTTTACAAGTATTTTTCATATATATTTCTTTTCAAGAATAGGAGCCCAAATGAGGCCTAATGAGGCTCGTATATGTACTTATTGTTGCTTTCTTTGTTGCATTCTTTGTTGCAGTTGCATTACTGTAAAATAACCGTGCAGGTACTTATTCGATGATTCACTGAATGAAAGCAAAGACAAAAAGAATTTTACCAATTCAAGAAAATAAATGATGTTTAATTACGTAATACTTGCAATCAATGATGAACCAAATAACAAGTAAATATAACAGCGATATATAGTTATTGCATAAAATTCACGTATTTAAAAGACAAAAGAATAATAAAAATATTTTAGTTGTTAATATTTTTATGTCAATATAATATATATTATTTAGGATATTTCTAGTTTTATCTTCATTAATTATTCTCGACCTAATTTTTATATTTTATTAAATATTTTATGAAATAAATAACATGTCATAAATAAATTATTCATACGCATGCTCGATTTTATATAACTAATAAAACGGAAAATTTGCTAATATTATTCGCGACTTTCCCAAAAAATAACTCTCTTGTCAATTTTATAACATTAACAATTCTGGATTAATAAATCCTGGATTAACTCATAAATATAATTTCCGGCGTATGTAACAAATATTTTTTTTATGTGCTCTAAAACAAAGATCAATAATCTATGTCATAATACGAAATTATTTTTATAATTTAAACGAATTATATGCACAATATTTCAACGAATAAATTGGTCATAATTATACGTATATTATGAATACAATCTATATTTATGCTGCTAAAATAATTAGAATATTTTCATGATTTCTAATTTTGTAATGTTCTTAAATAATACAGATTGTTAACTAAAACTAGTAATATTTCATCGAGTCATAAGAGAGATAAGAGAACTTAGCTACATATATATTATATATATATTTTGTACACATACTTTGTATATTGAAAAGATTGTAAATAGCCTCGAAACTCGAGAAAACAAATTAGCGCAATCTTAATAATTATCACGTGACGCGATAACGATTGATGAATACCGAAATTTGAGTAATAACGTATTTAGAACACATTTTTCTGATATTTTATAACTCGAGCCATCTAAAATATTCGATAAATACGTATACTTATTTATAATATTTCTTTTTTAGATTGTTTACAATGACATTATTACTCATATAATATCCTGAGTGGTCCTTAGCCCTATATTAGATTGTTTAATTTATATAATACTTCTCTTTATTTTTTTCTCTTTTAAGACATACAGGATGTCCCAAAATTTGAGAGTAATATTATCGCAGCGTGAAACTTGGTGAAAAATTAAATAATAAAAATAAAAAAGCTACTTTTTTCGTAAAATAGTCTTTTAAATATAAACGTTTAAAATTTGATTAATCATAAATGTTGTTTAAAAAATCATCTGTTTGTATGATAATGTGCGTACGGAAGCAAATATTTTGTTTAGTCTAATATCACTGCATGCACTTTACATGGATAGATGATTTTTTAACCATTATGATTAGCCAAATTTTAAACTTAAAAAACTACTTTGTGGAAAAAATGATTTACACTTTTATTATTTAATTTTTTATGAAGTTTTATATTATAATAACATTACCTTTGATACATTTTGTATATCTTTAATTTAAAAAAAAATTATGAACAATAAACAAATTTTGTTAACTTAAAATTTGATATCTATATATTATTAATTTACATAAATAAAACTATGGTTCTTTTACAATACAAAAAATGTTGAAAAATGTATAAAACATAAATAATATCAATTGCGATTAATTCCGCATTATAAGGCAAGAATAAATTTTTATTACTAGCTACATTTATTAGTTGAATTGTGTATTTAGTTTTAATTTTTAACGTATTTAATTTTATTATACTGAAGAGAGTCAAATCTTGACCGAAACGTCTACTTATTGTTATGAAATTGTTTTTAAATAATATATAACTTATTTACATCCTGAGTTGTGGCTGTATGCTCTTTATTATTTAATCTTTGTAAATTTCTTAGCCACTTTCTAACAATTTAAAACATAAATGATAGTTTTGAAATATTTTATATTGTTTTAAAGTGAAAGGTGTATATATGTATAATATACGCAAGTTATTTCTTTCTTTTCTTTTCCATAATATGGATTTCCTGCCTATTAAGGTAAATCACAGTACTATGAATGTAGATATAATTATACAAACAAAATAGACAAATCAGGTATCAAGATATAAAAGCTCTTTTTATATGCAGGGTGTTCCTTAAATTGGTTGTTACGATTTGAGATATTTCCAACGAGTTGATGATAAAATATTTCTAACAAAAGTTTGTTGGCTTTTAGAAAAGAATTCATTGCAAGAAAAATTTCGAAATTGTTCATTTTTTTTTACAAAAAATTAAAGTTAAATTATATTTTTTCAAATAGAAACAGAAATTTTTTTCCATATTCTTACATACATAAAAATCTTACGATTTTATTCACAAATACTACAAATAATATAATCCACAAATACTCTATCTGTTGACATCAAAAGCATTGAAACAAACATGACTATATATATAGGCAACATATATTATAATATATAAAAACATATATAGAAATAGTAGTTATCGAATTGCATCGTCAAAATTCGTAAAAAAGAATAGAAACGTAAAGTAGCAACCGATTCCAGTAACATCCTGTAAATTCTGTATTATTTGGGAAATAAAGCTTTCAACCATAATAGGATAGCCATAAAAATAGAAAATCGTGATAAATGTTTTATCCGCGTTTCCTTTTTCACGAATTGTAGAAACCGTACTAAATTCAGCTCTATTCTTTTTATTGACAAAGGTCGAAAAGTAGCCCGTAGAGTAAAATTCACAAAATGACAAAGGCTGAAAAATAGCCTGCAGAAGAAAGAAGTTCACAAAATGTTGTTAATCGGACGATCAGCTCCAGGCCCCCCTACTCCAGCAGTGGGCACCTTATACCGCATATAAGATGCTGTACTCGCGTTGTACTAGACCGGTACCAGCTGTAGGCGAGCAAAGACAGTGAGGTAGTACGGATTAGTACGTTCACGCAGTTAGCGCTCAGCGTACAGAGACTAAAGACGATCCGTGTAAATCTCTTATTTTCCCTTCGCTTTCGAAATCGCGCTGTATCCTACGAGTCAGAGTCAGTTGACGGAACGAGTCAAGGCTCCCGTTTTAACGTTCACGGTTTTCCGGGGCTGGAGAATTTCTTTGTAGTGCAATCGCCGCGTACCTTCTTGTGCCTGTGGGAAAGTGGAGAGAAACTTTTGCCGATTGAATAGAATTATTGAAGTGCCGAGATACAGCGGCTGAAAAATGGAGATCTGCAACCGAAAGGACCGACTATGCGATACGCCATGTAAAAAAGCGTCGCGCCTCGTTGACAACGGGGAGAAACTCCGGCGGGAGAAAGTTTCCACCCTGCGGGAACTTATAGATGCGCTGTACGAGGCCTACAACACGGATAATGTGAATATCGATTACGTTCAGGACCTGATGATGAGCTATAAGAGCAATCCCGCGGAATGGAAGAAATTTGCCAAGTTTGACAGATACAGGTATTTGATATTTATTTATTTACATACGAATTTTACTCAACCTTTCACAAAATAAATATTTTTTTCAATATTTATTAAACGAAGTATCTTTTAAGATCGTAATATGAATACACAACAAATGGGAGATAAAAATCCTGTACGGTTAAATTCGATTTTTAATACTAAATAATTCGGTAATAAAACTTATATATTTATGTACAATCCTGCAAATTGCGCACCGAATTTAATTATTATAATTATTATTAAAATTATTTATAGATTTTAAGATGCTTATTAATATCAGATTATTCAGATTTTTCTAAGATGTCTATGAGCATTAATATTATCAAATTGTTTGTCAATTTAATTTGTGATATTTACTTTAGTTTCTGTTAGGATTGCGTTTCAAGACTGAAAATTAAATTATAATTTTTAAGATTGAATATGCAGTATTATATAAATTCATACTGAGCATAATTCATATTTAAGCATTAAAGATCTAATTTAACCGTTAACGTTTAGGCCTTTATTTATTTATTGTGTGTCTTTTAAATTTTTTAGTATATAAATTAATTCTTGTAATGTAAGATGCAATATCATTACAATAAGATTATCGTTTTAATTTTATGTATGATTATCAAATATACATAAATTATAACGATAAGAATAGAATTAAATCTACATAACAAATAGTTGAAAAATGTACGATAGTAATATAATCATCTGTGATAAATATTGAAAAATATTTCCGGCACGATAAAAAAATCTCAACAATTAATCGCGGAAATTAAAAATTCTTAAATAATGTTCGGTATGCTATGTTATGTATTTTATTCCAAAAATAAAATTATATCGCTTTCAATCTGACAATTGGTAAGATTTACATGCCTGATTCACGATTCCACAGAATATATATTTGATGTAATTGCACAACTTGTTAAAACATGATGAGAATTGTGGCGTGCATGCGGAAATGTTTTCATTAACTATCAGCTAATTACACATCGATAATTACAGCACTATTGCAAATAAAATTACTGCATAACGGTAATGATCAATTAGGGACATTCCGGAGAAATACGTCGTACTTGATAACTAAAAGATGAGCATAATAAATATTTTTGTTACTTAATATATTTGAAGTGTGTAAATAGAACGTATATAACAACGCAATGCAAAATTGTGAAATAAAATTAATCGGGCGAAGTTCAGAATGGGGTTATCGGTCGTATATTCTACGCTTGTTCTATCTCTCTCTAATGCTCCCACGTCAAAATATGTAAAGAAAAATTTGGTAACCTTGTTCTGAAATGACCCATAACACCATTTGTATTTGTGGTAGGAATAGATGATTGCCATTTAATCATTGTCAGACAAAAAAAACATCAGATATTAGCAGAATTGTGTCATCGCTTCATTTTTTCCGATCATCAATCTCATGACTACCGTAAATAATAAATAACTAATATACGCAACGAAATATATATAGTCTTCAAAAAAGAATCATCGCGTGTTTACGAAGAGAGTGTGGCAAAAATATAAAAAGAAATGTTGAATTGATGTCAGGAAATATTTGAGGAAACAGAAAACTTTTAAGGCAAACGAGATACTTCGTGCCAGATTAAAATTATTTGCATTTAACTAATTAACAATTTTATTAGTTATCTTATAAAGTTAAGAATGCACGGAAAATAAATTTCGGGTCAAAAGGAAAATTTTCTTGTTCTCCGCAGCTTTATTTAT